TGTTAGCTCATGTTAGCTTGTTGTTTCCTTAAATATTCCAATTTATTTTTATGATCTTTCTCTCAAATCCATCAGAATTACCTTTTAAATAATTTGAAAACTACATAATAATAAGAATTAGGAAAAAATATGCCTGAATAATTCAGTTGTACTAGTTTTATGAAATTCTGTATAAACAATATACAGTATTTTTCTTGTTTGTTTACATGAATATGGTCTTTTTATTCATTCTGACGTATATAATAATAAATAATATGATAATAATAACAATATATTTTTAGTTTTATTATGTCACCTCCACTGACCGTAAAAGGATCCCGAAAAGGCCCACGGACCACCAGTTGATAATCACAGTTGTAGCTTGTTTTGTGGCCCCGAACACATTTTTTCAGTGAGACAAGGAGCACAAATGGCTCTTTTGATTGTAAAGGTTGCAGACCCCTGATTTAGCTAAGCTACTACCAGCTTTAGGTGGCGGCAACACGGCCGCCGATAAACGTAGAAGAAGAAGGAAAAAGGACTTCCTGTAGTTTTTCGCACTGTTCGTCGCTGTTTTGTGACGTCAATGACATGCGCGCGACGCAACACGAGATTTTGCGAAAGAAATGTGCAGAGGGTAAAGATGCGAGGAGCTCAATGTCACCGAGTTTGATCATCATTTACAGACACAAAAGGAGGTTTTACCCGCCGGAAATAGTTAGATCTGTGAATAAACGTCAACCTATAGTCTGAGGTAAGTTAGCTAGTTTTGTGATAAAAGAGTTGTTCTTTTGATAGCATAGCTTACTTAGCACGTTCAGTCAACAAGACAAGTTGAACCCTCAGTCGTTTGACGAAATGTATGTTTTATGTTACTTTGTGCTTATGTAGATGCTGTTAAGCACAGTATTTCCATGTGAATCGTTAATTTGGTATTACAATTAAATTTCGTTTAGAATTTAGTCCAACGTGAACGTACAGGTAGACCTGTGTTTGACCAAGCCTAGAACAAGTTGTATACTAGTGTTTTAGCTGATGTTTTCAATTATCTACTTACCAAGTCAGTATGTGAGAACACGATTTGAGAATTATTCCGTATTTAATTTAAATGTATATAGTTCATGATGCAGCCACGTTCACTAATGCCGCCACAAATCTTCTTGTTTTTATCCCATTTCTTTTTGCAGGGAATTCTTTCAGAGGTGTCCAAATCTCCACCCTCTTTTCCCTCTGTAGTAGCTTAATGCCTTGTAGTTCATCATGGCCACCCAGGTTTGTAAAGTGATGGAGCTGATGCTGCGCTCTCCTTACTGCCACATTGCCAGAAGTAGACACTGCTTACCAAAGGCAGTGTTGGCCCCTGTGGGGTGTGATCGTGGGATTCCTGTGCTTCACAGAAGGTCTTTCAGCCTGGACTCTATGGGTCTAGGTCGGCCCTCGCTTGGTCCAAGTTCCCAGCTGCCTTGTTTAGAGAAAACGTCAGCGCTAACACAAAGAAACTTATCTGCAGCAGCTGTACAGGTAGGTTAAATCCCATTTTTCAAAACCCATAAAAATTCAAATCAAAACCTTTAAAATAAGTTTTGTATTTGATTAATGTGGCTTTAATACATTTGTACGCATTAATGTCTTTTCACAGGGCCAGTTTCGTCCTTTGAGCAGTTTTGACTATCTGGATCTCGGGACGTTAGAGGAGAATATACGTCAGGCTCAGGCTTTTAAAAATAAAAGACAATTCATCGTGGACCCACATCTGGCTAATGTGGTAGCACAGCATTTAGGACCTGATCTACGGGATAGTAAAGCTGTTATCTTGGAATGTAACCCAGGTATGTTTTATCTTTTTGTGCAGTGTTCATCCGGCTTTGGACAAACAAACCAAATTAATAGTATTTACAATAGAGTTGCACCGATTCTAGTTTTATGGGTTGATACCCATATTCAATATTTTAATAGCCCTGACCTGCCGATATTGATATTCTTTCAACAGGGCAGATAGTAGCTTAGTGTAGCTACAAACAAACAAACAAACAACACACACATACACACACACACAAAAAAAACAACAACATTGATTTGACAAACATTTCTCTAGATCTGACAGAGGTACAGCTGTCACTGTAAATACTACAATCAGCCCGGTTTCAATAAAATAAAATAAAATAAACTTGTGCATGTTTGTTTCTATCTTATTTAATATTCACTTGTAATAAATAGTGGCCATAAACAACTTCGATCAACTTGTTGTTTTAAAACTGCAAATAAATACAAAATATTTTACTTAGATAAGATCAAATAAAACTAATTAAATATAGAGTCCAGCTGATGGTGCATTCACGGACCAAATAAAAAGTCAGAGATCTCAGTATTGATGGTTTAAAGACGGGGGGGGGGGGGGGGGTTTTTTTTTTTTTTTTTTTTATTTGTCCAGCTGGTGACAGATTTAAGCCGATCAAGGCGAAAACCTTTGCAGTGAAAAACTGATTTAATTTCTGTTTCTATGTTTCTTAGGTCCGGGAGTGTTGACAAAAGCATTATTAAACGCTGGTGCTCAAAGAGTTGTAGCTCTTGAGGGTAGCGAAGTCTTCTTAAATAATTTGCAGGTACCACTAATGTCTTAAAGCAATCAAGCTATTTTTTTGACCATACACAGTATTACTTTACTTCTCATTATTTGAAAACCTGTTTATGTGTTGTAGGAGCTGGAGGCACAGCTTGATGGTCAGCTGAAAGTGGTTCACTGTAACTACTTTAACCTCGACCCCATCGGTTCTGGCAAGTTGGGCCCTGGAACTATGTTCTCTGACAAACTGTTCACTGACCTGGGAATATCAGAGGCTGCTTGGAATGATGGTATAAGAAAACAAAACTCAGAAACAGACAAAATCCACAATGTTGCAGATTTTCTCTTATGCATGCATACTTGCAGAGTAATGCTATGAGTTCTGCTCTCCACTTTTGAGATAAATGGAAAAAAATTGAATTTATTCTGTTTTAGTTTTTATTTTTTTACATTATTTAGCTACAAATTCTGTGTATTGCATTACAGAGTGCCAGCTTTTATAACTCTGCGTGTGTGGTAATGTTTTTATTTGTCCATCTCTCCAGATGTCCCAGTGAAGGTGGTGGGAATCCTGCCCCGTAGTAACATGCGTGGCTTTCTGTTGAAGACGGTTTATGCTTTGTTCGAGCGACTTTCCATTTACAGATACGGAAGAATAGAGCTCAACCTCTTTATTTGCGAGACGGAGTACATGGTAAATACAAAAACTATGCACATTTAAATCGTTTTTGTGAGTTTGGGATGACATGAATGCTCGCATCTTTTTATTTCATTTGAGCAGCTTAAAACCAACAACTTCTCCAGTTTATTAGTTGTAATAGTTGAAGGTTTGTGTCATCTTTGCCTCAGTTGCTTTATTCAGTTTTCACATCACAATAGCTTAGCTGATGCTGAAGTAGAATGTGATAACTTGTATAAATCATTACTAAGACACGTGTCAAACAATTAACCCAGTCGTTTCTTCATTAGAAAATGATGAGTCGTCCTGGTGACAAGCTGACCTACAAGGCCTTTGGTGTCCTCTGGCAGATGGCTTGTGATATTGAACTCCTGCATACGGTATAAAATGAAGAAGAAACCTTTTTAGTATACTTAGTAGAGATGCACTGATTCTGGTTTTGTGGGTCAGAAACGATTCTTAAAGAGCCCTGACTTGCCAATACAGATATCCAATAATATTTCAATGAACTAACCCAAACAAACTCATTTGCATGTTATTATTATTATTATTATTATTATTATT